AATGAAATATAAAATGTATTTTGAAGGTGCACATGCAGTGTAAAATATTTAATTAGTTTTCTATCAAAACATTTTAATACCACAAACACCCTTATAAGATTTTTTGTAAACAATTTTAAATCATTGCACACATTCCAACTGTACAATAAACTCTTTGGGCGAGCTATTTTTAAAATATCTTTCTGTATTTCAGCTATATTTTAGGAGAAAAGGAAGAGCAGCATTTAATAACATCTGAAATAAAGAAAGACATTCCTGTATTCTTGAAGGCTTTCACGGCTGGGATCCAATGGTTGTTGTAGGTTTTTCAGGTTGTTAAGGTTTTTCTTCCTAACGTTTCACCAGTCTCTGTGGCCAGCATCTTCAGAGGATGCTGGCCACAGAGACTGGCAAAATGTTAGGAAGAAAAACCTTAAGGACCTGGCCAAACAGCCCCCAAAAATCTAGAACAACCAAAGTCATTCCTGTTTAGATTAGAAAACATTTGAACATCTTAATCAACAGAATTAGATATTTTGTATTAAATTTACATTTAACATCACATGGCATGGCACTTGCGAATATTTTAATGAAACGTTGATGACGATTCGTAGTGGGAAATTACTATCAACAGGGAATGCTTTGCAGTAGATAAGAGGCCGGGTATGTGATATCTAACCTTTCCTTTCACCTGTTACTTCAGCCTTATATAGCTCCATTGTTCATACAGGTTCCACACCTGTGTCTAGAACTGACAGAGTTGTGTAACAATGGGGAAAACCCGCAGGGGAAAAGTGACAGCTAGGAAACGGTTTAAGAAGTCTTCCTTCACCTTTTCCTGGGCAAATTACATTTGGTCATTGGAAATAGCTATTCACACGCTCTTCTAGTTTTGACCACATTTTCCTGAAACTTTCTTCTTTTTGTTTTATCCTAAGAACAAACAGTAGCTAAAAATGAAATCAGTTATGACAAGTTATGTGAATTCATACAAATGCTGGGAGTATGGTATTTACTGAAAAATGTTCACCAGAATTACACAGAAATCGGCCTTTTTTTGAGCCGCCACCACCACCATATCATCATCATCATCATCATCATCATCATCATCATCATCATCATCATCATCATCATCATCATCATCATCATCATCATCATCATCAATCACAATAATAGCAAAAATTATAAAAGATTGTGTATGTTAGGGCTTTAGAACTGTTATGCCCAAATGGACTATCTAGATTTGATCGAATTGTTAGATTTAGGGATGGATTATATAAGAGCCTAATCTGTCAGGATCACAGAAGCTTCTTCTCAGTGGTTTCATCCCAGACTACCCAGTAATGCAAGATGAGGGCCATCATTCTACCATGTGGTAGGGAGAAACGTAATTTTTACCTCATATTAATCCTCCTTCATGTATGGTTTTCATGGATTCCAAAACCTACTGGGGTGCTGAAGATATAAGTCACATAACTAGGTTACACATCAGCTGGCTTCCCCTATGCCAGCAAATAAGTGCTTTGGATAGCTTGTACCATTATACTTGTAACAACAGGCAACAGGTAAAGGTAAAGGTAAAGGTTCCCCTTGACAATTTTTGTCCAGTCGTGTCCGACTCTAGGGGGCGGTGCTCATCCTCATTTCCAAGCCATAGAGCCAGTGTTTTGTCCAAAGACAATCTTCCATGGTCACATGGCCAGTGCGACTTAGACACGGAACGCTGTTACCTTCCCACCAAGGTGGTCCCTATTTATCTACTCGCATTTGCATGCTTTCGAACCGCTAGGTTGGCGGGAGCTGGGACAAAGCAACGGGCGCTCACTCCGTCGCGTGGATTCGATCTTATGACTGCTTGGTCTTCTGACCCTGCAGCACAGGCTTCTGCGGTTTAGCCCGCAGCGCCACCACATCCCAGAACTGTTTACAAATAGGGATACGTGTGCAGTACATTGGCTGATGTAATATTTAAAGAGCTAAAAGAGGCCAGGGAAGTTAGTGGCATCTCAGTTCTTCCACCTTTCCTTTCCCCTCTACTTGAGTTCCCTTATGTAACTAATTAAATGTGTCATTAATATTCCACACTATATTACACAGTGCTATTTTGTCCACAATATCTTTTTCATTAAAAAAAAGTTATGTTTTCGCATGCATGGCAACAGAAAATATTCACAGAACATCTAATATTGTACTAAGTCATCTGTACGTGGGTCCTCTTGTACCCGAATACTCCGATTTTTTTATCAAAGGAGGTTTCCTTACTTTACTGGCTCCCATGATTCCCGCTCAAAGCCCCTGTGAATTGATTGTGCAATCGAGGACTCCATGAGATCGACATATCTAACGACAAGTGGAGCAAACAGGTCTTGAAGATGTTTGTGGAATTTTCCATTGCACAAATTATCTAGAATAGATAAATAAAAAAAATACAGTAAGGTTATCCTTCAC